TTTTTGCTTTGTACTGTACGATCTATTATGCTTTGTCAAAATCCTAGTCACTAGAGGTTGAGAAATATACTAATTATATGATGATCGTACATTACAATTTGGTTTGTGTTGTATATTCTAATTATAATCTTTCTTAATTAATTCCTTGATATCAAGCAATCAAATCATGGACAATTATTATGACTGATTGTACTATACAGTTGTCCATGTATGAAATTGGTCATCCCAAAAATTGTATCGAATGAAATTCATGATTTTTATGCTGATCATATTATACGATGTCCATAGTGATAAACGATTGATAGTGTACAAAGTTGGTCATCCCAAGGGTCATCCCAAATGAATATAAGAAATTTCTATAATTTGTTCCAAAAAAGTTAAAAGGTTCATCTATACAACCTTGCTGAATGAGTCTGAATTACATTTCGTATGGTACGATATGTGTATCATACAGTATGAAAATAAGATGTATCTCTAGAAAATTAAGGATTCTTGAAGCCCACTACTTAAGGTTTTTTAATACTCCTATTAAAAAATCTTTGGTTGTTGAGACTTCAGGAAAAAGAGCCTTAAGAAACAGAAGAAGGAGAGCTTTATGAGAGAAGATAAGGAGATTTTATGCGGAAGAAGTTAAGAGGGGATATACAAGGTTGAGCTAAGCAAGAATCTTGTCTAGTATCTACAAGTATCTACTTGGATTCTCTATGGCTCCGAAGAAGAAGTTCTTCAGCAAAGTTCATGGTTCTCTAACTAGTATCTGGAGTGCGAAAATAGATTCATGATTCTCTAACCATCACCTGGAGGGTGAAAATAGAGTTGTGGTTCTCTGGCCATCACCTAGAGGGTAAAAATAGAGATATGATTATCTAACCATCATCTGGAGGGTAAAAATAGAGTTGAGGTTCTCTACCACACTGGGGTTGTGAAATAACATATGTACACGCTTCTCTACCTTACTGTGGAAGCAAAAGAGAGTCGTTGTTGTTTAGTGCAATAATTGGAGAGGGAATCTCCAAGTAATGACGTAGGTTAGGTTGACTAAACTACTATAAATTATGGTGTGTTCATTCTAATTATTTTCTACACTTTATTTTCTACAATTATATGTGTGGTTAAAATTTTGATTTATTTCTTTGTTGTAAAATTTACTTATTTCCATGTCCACTATATTGATTATTGTGTGTGGGTTTAAGAAGTTTTTAAAGAATTATTTTTCATTAATTTTTTTCAAAATATCCAATTCACCCCCCCCCCCCCCTCTTGATTAGTCTCATGCTAGTTCTTAAAGGGCTAACAACCTTCATAAACTTTCAGTCAAATGATCAAATAAGCTTCCAAATGAGTTGAAGTGGTCAAGCCACCAAGACAAAATGTTCTATCCACCAAATTCTGTTCTAATTTGCTATAAATTAGCCTAAATTTAGCCTAAATCCACCCTAAACCATCTCTTAAACTAATCCAAGCCTTGGTTTAGCTTAATGGTAAAAAGGAAGTGGTCCCCCCCCCCCCATCACATGTGTCAAGGAGAGTCCAACTCAAGGCTCCTACCCTCTCCCTGGTTTCCATATACCTTGGGGCAGATGGAAAGCATCCAAGCTCTCTCCCCAATCAATCCTAACCCTCCATTCAAAAAGGTAGTGTTTAGGAGGGGATGTAACCTAAGATCTTAAATTCCATCAAATTCATTCTCTCAGCACCCCCTAATAAGTGTAATTAATGCGATATTTTATGTTTTAATTGGTCTGTAAAATATATTATTTTAGTTGTATTTGTGTAGAAAAATATAAGAAATGGACAAAATTTTCAAGTATGGTACAACACCGCGCATCAGACATAATATCCTCGTGACATCATCATTGAAACTACTGGATTGCCCAAATATGGATATGGTGGTTCCCAGTCTCTGCTTAATATTGTTGCAACATCAAAGGATTCATTACCGCAAAGCCCATCCTACTGTCCTAGTGCTGCAATCTCGAAGGAGTCAATACCACAAAGCCTAATCTCTATCTACAAAGCGACGTGGTATAAAATTACAGTGCCTCTAAGTCTAGGGAGTACCATATGGACATCACAATACTCAACCGTCAGCGACACCGTGATGCTATAATTGTAACTATCCAGGCATCACTTTTATTAGGTCAGGACTCCTGACAAGCTCTACATCCGGATGCCAATAAAATATCGCCACGTGCCCTTACTCCTTACTGCGCGGCCCGATGACTTGGCCCGGACTGGAACCCGGTATTGCTATGTATTAGCTGATTTGTGCAGACCATGGTATTGCTAGGTATTGCTCGGTAACGAGAAATACCATTCTGTCAAGACCAATACCTAGCAATACCGAGCAATACCTAGTAATACCCTGGTTTTGGTAGGTATTACTCGGTATTGCTAGGTATTGGTCTTGAAAGAGCGGTATTTCTCGTTATTACTAAGCAATACCTAGCAATACCGAGCAATACCTAGCAATACCAAGCAATGCTTAGCAATACACGAACATAGCAATATCGGGTTTCGGTCTAGGTCGGGTCGTCGGTCTGCACGTTAAAGAGTAAGGGAACGTGGCGACATTTTATTGGTGTCCAGATGTAGAGCTACATTAGGTGTCCTGACCTAATAAAAGTTCCCAAACAATTGGTCGCTTCCATTTCAAAACACTGCCTACCATGGTTCATGTGATTAGAGATTAGCTCGAGCCAAGCTAATTTTGTCTTATTTAATATGCAGAGATTAAAGTTAGTTATAGATTTGCTTGACATGTGATTAATACGCCAACTTGGGTGCTTTTTTGGAAATTAGTCAAATTGAACTGAATAATAGTCCTATTTAACTTCTTTTTTTTATTTGTATTACATGTAATGATTTGGGTTGGATTGGAATGTAATTTTTATGATCCCAATACTTACATATGATAAATTCATCTAGGCTTTTGAGTCAGCTTAACATTTTCTTTTTCTGTCTTTCTCTTTCAAGCCTCCTATCTTGGCAATTGTTTCAAAAATGTTTTTTCAAAATATTTTCTTATGAAAAAACTTTAAGCTTCTTTGGGACAATTTTATAAATATTTTCTAAAATAATTTTTTAGTACAAAAATTTTTAGTTCAAAAAAATTTTGTACTAAAAAAATAAATTTTAAAGCATTAAAAAGATGTCCCTAGGTTTTATTTGGGTAGCTTCCTTATTGTTTAATTTCGAAAGCAATAAAATGATGCCTCAAATGAAGCTTAGTTATATGATTCATGAATATAATTAAATAGATAAATATTTGGCATAATTTAAAATAATTAAGACATAACAAATTAAATAAATAATTTGTAAATAATATCTAAAAATAATATATAAATTTTGAAAATTTTAAACAGATCAAATAGGGAATTTTTTTAATTGAATAAAGCATATAGTTTCGTACGAAATCTCATCCTAATTAAAATCAAAATTATCCAAAAATGAAATCGACGATTAAGATCAAACTGTATAACATAATCCAAATGATTAAATCATTGAGTTCACCCTAAAAATTTACATGAAAAAAATTTCATACTCATAACAAAAAATTATATCAAATAATCATTTAATGAGATGAATTAATAGTTTCCTCTATTATAGCACTCTCCAAATTTAATTCACAACCTATAAAAATGATATTTGATATATTATCAAAAAATTATCTTGATTGGGCACCAATCTCGGAGCAAAATCAAATTGAAAACTTCAAAAATTAAATTCAAGGTCATCCGAACTTCGATTTCAGCTTTAGCAAACCAATAGTCGAACTGAACATCTTAAAAATACAAATCCAACGACACCAAATTCGACTCAATCTGAGCCCAAATGAGTCCAAATCAAAGACCATAAGCACATTTGAAAGGTTCAAAGCATAATTTTGACTACCAAGCGGTTTCCAAATGTGGCATGCTTATAATCGAATCGAGCAGCTCGACGAGATGAATCCAATGACCTCAAGATCTACAAATTCTAATATCATTAAGACATTCAAATGCCCATTAAATGGTTCATGATCAAGAGATTCAACATCGGCCGTCCATTCAAACCACTCCAAATTTATCCTTGATCTTCCTTCTATTTACTAATCATGACACTATTAGAAAACTATAAATAAACCTCTCATTTCTCATTAGAGGAGGGGGGGATATATATATAAGGGTGTAAGTGGGCTAAATGCCTAAATCAACTCGTGAGTAGGCTCGAAGTTGACTCGCCAGTGAGCTTGTGAGTCAAGCATATTGAGCAACAAGTACATGTTTAAATTCGAGAACATATATTATACAAACTTGGCCTAGCTCGACTTGTTAACTTGTCATATATTACTCCGACTTGCCTGCTCAATTAATATTATTTAATAAATCAATATTTATATTGGTCAAACAAATTATTTTTGTTCATATTCAAAATTAGACGCCAAAGTCCAAACTCCAAAATGCATCAAGTTCGAGTACTCTAATCGGCTTATATTTTGTCTTTAGAAATATTTATTTATTAAAATAAAATTGATATTAAAAATTTTTCATGGTTTACATTTTAAATTTTAAAAATTAAAATATATATTTATATTGCGAATCTCGTAGTAGGATAAAGGCTTGTTATTGTTATTGTATATTGCGAATCTCGAAATTACATAAAATTTAATTAATGTATCATATTTTATACCATTTTCTAAAATATTCATATTTTAAATTTCACAAACAAAAAACAAATATTAATAACAGTGAGTCTCGATATTATACATTTATTTTGAATTGATTATAATAAAGAATATAAGTAATATACGTATTTTATACCCTTTCATAAAATAAATCAGTTGTTTTAATAACCGATAATCTATTACTAAAAATATCCCTAAAAAAATTCGTAATATATAAAATATCACAAAATCTTTTAATATCCGTTCCGTGTTTTGCAGATTCTCGAAGCATCTATAAATATCCCTCTCTTTCTGACGAACTTGGCTTTTTATATTTATCGTGAAGAAGAGTTCTTAAATTTCTCGAGTTCTTCTTGCTCTGTTAACGTTCCTTGGAGCCGAAGTAACAGAGTAAAACCCTAGAGACTAAGTAAGGTGGAGAAGAAGCAGCAGCGGAGGTTCTGTATACACACTCTGATGGCGGAGCCCGAAAGGTAATATGCTCTCTCACTCACTTTTACTTGATTGGATTCTGTTCCCAATTCAGTTCGTTCGATTATTAACATATGGGGGTTTATGTTGGCTTTTGATTTTGAATTTACGGTTGATTGATGTTAGAATGACCAAATCTTTATGGTTTTTGTTAACCTAACACCAGGATGGAAGGATTGCCGTCGTCTGGTCTGGTATTCTTCATCATGAAGGAGTAAAATTATAGGGATTTCTTCTGCATAAATGGGAAATCCCGCTTTTGTTTGACCTGTATTGTGTTACAGGTTCTAATAATTCTGTTCCTCTCTGCCATTCCATTGCACTAGTGATTTGTGTTAAGCTTGAACTAGTTCTAGTGAGCCTCATCTATCCCAGCATGTCTAGGAGGTGGCTTGAAAAAAAAAAATAGAAAATCCTTATTTTTTTCTCCTGCATTTACAGGTTCAAGTAGTTCTGTTCATATCTGTCATTCTATAGCAATAAGTCTATTTTGATAAGCTTAAACTAGTTCTATTCATCTTCCTTCATCCTTCAGATGATAGTGTATAGGGTAAGATTGAACTCATTCTCATTCTCTATTTTACTAATTGTTATTTTGCACTTTTAGTTTTTTTTTTTTCCTCTTTTCTATGACGCTTCTTGATGATATTCTTTGGAGTGACTAGTGATTTTTTTTTTTTTGGTCTGAAGAGTTTTATTTGTCCATTGCCATTCCACTGTCTTGGTTCTTATGCATTCGACTTCTCTTATTTTATGTTTTACTTCTGCATATAGAACTTGGTGGGATAAAAGGACAAGTTCGTTATAGGTGAGTAAATATTGATTTTCTTAATGTTGCAGGTGAATTGCTATTCTCGTCTTTTTTAAAAAGAAAAATCTACCACTTTATATAATTATTATACTCAAGATAACACTGTCGATTGTGATATGCAATATGAAAATTAATTGTGGTTCAAGTTTCGTCAAATTTCATACCAAGTTAACCGGTCATGAAGCTTGTGAAAAGAATGAAAAATTTTATATACTTGGCTCGAATCAACTCAAATATCTAATTGAAATTGGTCATTTTAACTTGACTCAAACATAAATCAACTCATAATTGAAAATTTCAATTTCTGCTTGAGATCAACTTGTTTGAACCTGACTCAATACCACTCTTAATTTGATTTTATATTGTTAGACAAAATAGAACTCTTGACCTCCGTGCATGAAATTTCTTTTTCAATTATAATAATTAGAGATAATGAAAATAATAACGATAATGCATTAATAAAACCATAGAATGTATGGCCTCCATTTAAGGTGTAGTATTAACTGAGTATAACTATTGTAATTCATTGATGGAACGATGTAATTGATGCAGGTTCAAGAGATTCCCTTCCAATGGAGGTCTAATTTGATCAAGTATGATATTATAATGGCAAAGATATTCGATCATAGGTTATGAGGTCACTTGATTTAAGATAGATGATATTCTTTTTGCATGATGTATGATCATGTAAAAATCTATGTAGAGGCCATGGAAGAAGAACTGATTTTCCATTGTGTTGGTTTAAAATTTAATGCATTAATATGGTGTATGCTTAATTTGGGGTTTCAAGGAATTTGTATAATAGTGTACTTCTGACTTCCTTATATGCTTTAATAATCATCTTAGGCTTCGTTTGGGATGACTTTTTTATTTATTTATAAAACGAAGTTTTAGTACAAAATTAAAAAATTTTATACTAAAACTCCGTTTTAAAAAGCAATAAAAAAGCCGTCCCAAACGAAGCCTTAATCTTCATTTTAGTTGTCCAGTGGTTATTTTTCTGATAAAGTGCAGTTTTCACACCATATTTGAATTGTTTTTTGAAATTCTTATTCTTGAATCATGTTTATTTGTTACTTTTGCAATGTTAAGTTCGATATTATTTCTTGCTTTCTTCTTAAGTTTAGTTTCCTTGCTTAAACATGTATCATTTTATGTACCTGCAGGAAACGAAGGAGGAGGAGGGACGGACCAGATTCCCTGGCAGAAACCCTTAAAAAATGGAGAGAACTCAATAAAGATTTTGATTCATCTGACAGCGAACGGACCCGTAAGGCTCCTGCCAAGGGCTCAAGAAAAGGGTGCATGAGAGGCAAAGGAGGTCCAGAGAACTCTAATTTCAGCTATCGCGGTGTTAGGCAGCGCACTTGGGGCAAGTGGGTTTCTGAGATTAGAGAACCAAATAGAGGAAATAGACTGTGGCTGGGTACCTTCCCCACTGCACTTGAGGCCGCTATTGCTTATGACCAGGCAGCAAGAGCAATGTATGGTGCTGGTGCTCGTGTCAACTTCCCCAGTGATCAAATTGGCTCCCCGGATGAATCAAGAATCACAGCTTCCAAATTATTATATGGCTTGACCGCCACTACAGCTAATTGTTCGAACGTGTCGGTTGATTTGATTGCAGCTAATTGTTCAATTGTGTCGGAGGATTTGATTGAGAGAAGAAGCAAGGAAGCTGCTTCTGATTGCACTCCCGCTGAACCTTCTCATGTTGGATCTTCTGCTATGACTGAGGAAATTGGAGACATGACAAATGCAGAATCGTTCGATTGGCAAGATATCTCCTTGGAAAATTTTGATGTAGATGAGATGCTGAGGATGATGGATGCTGATCCAGGGAACACTGGAATAAGTGCAGAACCAGAAACTGTGGCCGGTTTAACTGAAGAAACAGATACTGATGCAGGTGGGCGTTGTACCAGCAGGACTCCTTCGGCAGCAGATAAGCTTGGAAGTTTGGGTCAAATGGAGAATGAAACAAACGATATTTGTTTCATCTATGAATTAATTAAACAATTGAATTACTGGCCTGCTGGAGACCCAGCATCATTCAGTCTTGGGTTCAACGATGGAGCAGAAATGAATGCTGGTCGGCATTGTAGCAGCCCATGCCATGTGGGGATGCAGGGAACTTCGAGTCATATGGAGAATGAAACAGATGATACTGGTTTCATCTATGACTTCCTCAGACAATCGAGGCAAGAGCCTGATTACTGGCCTGCTGGAGACCAGGAATTATTCAGCATGGGATTCAACGATGGAGGCCGTTTGATGAATTCTGCATCAGATTGTATTAATTAGTTGTGTTCAATTTGTCGATTGTTTCATTTAGTTCATAGTTGATGCATTGTAATCAAGGATATCAAGGCATAGTGGTTCTCTTCTAATTCGGTGGCTTCCCTGCTTTCTCAACATTTGAAAAAAATTCCATAGTTTTCAAATTTATTTTCACTAACATTTGATTTGAATTTTTAATTTATTTTTTTCTTATTAAATTATAGTATTGAAGAATAAATGAGCGGCATTTTAGGCGTGTTAATATTGAACTCAACATAAAAATTCAAGTTGAATATGACATAAAAAAGTCTGAATTTGGGTAAATTTGTGTAAGATTTGGGTTGGGTTGATATCAATGTAGTTATTAGAAAAGGAAAAAAGAAGACTTGAGTTTAAATTTTTTTATAATTTGGATTAACTAGAAAATAATAATTTAATTTGAAATTTTATATTAGATTAGACAAACTTGCTTACTTTAGAATGGGTTTTATTTGGGGTGTTAAAAAGAGTTAATTGTTAGGTTGGGCAGTGGCGAAGGCAGGCATGAATTTTATTTAGGGGTTGTCGTCTTATTTAGAAGGTTAGAATATATTAAAATTTTATTGTTTGTCGTCTTACTACCGGAGCCAAGAGGAGCTGTAAGATCAAAATTAATAATGCAAATAAAATAACCCTCAGAACTTAGAAAACATAAACATCTGTCACGGACAGTCTTTATTAAGGGGCAAGAGACGAGCGAAAGGAAAAATGAAAGTTGTGCTTGAGATCATAAGCGCGAGTCGTGAGAGAGGAGCAAAGGGAAAAAAGAACCATTATGATTTTCATGTGTCCATAAAAAAATGTCGGTGGCTAATCTTAATTAATAAATATCATTAAAAGGAAGAATTATAAAAATTAGAGCAGATTTACTCGCTGGCAAACTTGTTGCTCTTTTAAGTCACTAAAACAATCAGCTTTAAGCCTCTTCTAAGTAAGTTTTTTTATGAGATGTAGTTATTCAAAAAAGAGAAAAAAAAAAAAAACCTTGAGTTTGAATTTTTTTTTAGTTTGAATTTTTTTTTAGATTTTGGATTAACTCGAAAATAATAATTTAATTTGAAATTTTATATTAGATTAGACAAACTTGCTTACTTTAGAATGAGTTTTATTTGGAGTGTTAAAAAAGGTTAATTATTAGTTTGGGCAATGGAAGAGCCATAAATTTTATTTAGGGGAGACTTAAATTAAAATAGTTCTATTTGTCGTCTTATTTAGAATGTTAGAATATATTATAATAACAATATCTGTCGTCTTACTACCGGAGCCAAGAGGAGCTGTAAGATCAAAATTCATAATGCAAATAAAATGACCATCAGAACTTAGAAGTCATAAACATCTACCACGGGTGGTCTTTATTTGGAGGTGAGAGAGGAGCAAAAGGAAAAAAATGAAAGTTGTGCTTGAAGTCATGAGCGCGAGTTATGAGATAGGAGCAAAGGGAAAAAAGAACCATTTATGATTTTCAAGTGTCCATAAAAAAAGTTGGTGGCTTCTTTGAATTAATAAATAACTTTAAAAGGAATTATAAAAATTAGAGTAGGTTTATTTGTTGGGGATCTTGTTGCTCTCTTAAGCCACTAAAAAAATCAATTTTAAGCCCCTTCTAAGTAAGTTTTTTTTTTATCAGATGTAGTTATTCAAAAAGGAAAAAAAAAGCCTTGAGTTTGAATTTTTTTAGATTTTAGATTAACTCAAAAATAATAATTTAATTTGAAATTTAATATTAGATTAGACAAACTTGCTTACTTTAGAATGGGGTTTATTTGGGGTGTTAAAATGGGTTAATTGTTAGGTTGGGCAGTGGCGGAGCCAAAAATTTTATTTAGGGGAGACCTAAATTAAATAGTTCTATTTGTAGTCTTATTTAAAATATTACAATATTTTAAAATAGTATTGTTTGTTGTTTTACAACTTGAGCCAAGAGGAGCTGTAAGATCAAAATTAATAATGCAAATAAAATGACCCTCAGAGCTTAGAAGACATAAACATCTGCCATGTGTAGTCTTTATTTGGGGGCAAGAGAGGAGCGAAAGGAAAAAAAATGAAAGTTGTGCTCGAGGTCATGAGCGCGAGTCGTAAGAGAGGAGCAAAGGGAAAAAAGAACCATTTATGCTTCTCATGTGTCCATAAAAAAATTTGGTGGCTTCTCTGGATTAATAAATAACTTTAAAATGAAGAATGATAAAAATTAGAACAAGTTTACTCGCTGGCGAACTTGTTGCTCTGTTAAGCCACTAAACAATCATCTTTAAGCCCCTTTAGACTTTCAATTTTATCTTTAGCCAAATCCTTTAGAGGAGAACTCTACGTTAAAATCTCTTTTCATCATTCCGTCCACAATGGAAAGTCATTCCTTCTCTATTTCAATATTTTATCCCATTAGTCTTTCTCTCTCTACAACTAAAGCATTGCATGGTCCGAGTAGAAGGTTGATTGAAGACTTCAAATGGAAAAAACCTATAATAAATAAAATGAAAGCTGACAAGGGATTGTATCGAATTGTTGGAGAGAGGAGCCGAATATTGCATGGCCACAACCTTTCCATGGATTGGAAAACAACCTTTCCATGGATTGGAAAAGTTCTATATGTGGGCTTATACCACCCATTGTTCATTAATTTGTTGATAAGTTGTATATCCTCCTTCTAAGTAAGTTTTTTTTTTTTTTTTTTTTGGGGGGGGGGGGGGGGGGGAGGGGAATACGCTTTTTTTTTTTGGGGGGGGGGGGGGGGGGGGGCATGTGCCCCCCTCCAGGTTGCGGTTGGATTCTTAATTAATCCAACTAAAATCTAATCAATTAGATTTGATTAGTAATAAATGGGTCAAAAAGTGGATTCAAACATTGCCGGCAACTTGAATAATTTAATTAAGATTGGATTACCCATTTTGATTTAAAAAAGTTGTTTTTAACATTTTATTAAGTATAGTGTATATATTAGTTGATAAAAAAAATCATAATCAACAAGCAAATGCATTTAAGGAAAAAGATACTAACAGAATAAGCTCAAATTTGATCAATTTATTAAATTGGTAAAAATTTGGACCTATACCTGCATTTTTTATTCAAATTAACGAATTGAATTATTTATTGACACCTCTAAATTTTAGGACTTTTAGATTTGTATTTCGAAATTGGTATAACATATGATATTGAAGGGTCAAATCAATTTCAATATAAATTGAAGAGTAATTAAGCATATTAATATACTTTGGTGTAATTTTTTTATTAAATTGTTATTTTTTATTTTAAGAGTTACCATATTTAAATTGAAATGATTTAGATGGTAAATATCCGGTTTAATAGAGTGGGATATGAATTATGAGTTTTAGTCTGTTTAATAAGTTGATTTGATACTAATTTACTATATTTAAGATTCAAGAAGAATATGAAAATATGAAGTTACGGGTGTTAGAATGTTTCTACGACCGGCGCGTGCCACACTTTATCCATACACGAATACTAAACGTGTTTTAAATTTGGCGTGAAATGAGATTTATGATCAGATATAATAAATATAAAAATACTATTTAAAAAATATATATAGAAATATCTCGAAGCTACTTTCGCTGGCTCTTTCTAAGTCACTTAGAGAGTTAGAGGTTATATATTCCTCTAGCCATTTTATTTCGCCTTATATCTCCCGACTTTCGTGGGCGAATCCCTAGAGGACAAAAATATAGGTGTTAGGTAAGCAGAAGCAGAAGGGGTTTATCTTCTATACGCGGCAATGGCGGAGCCCGAAAGGTATTTTCGGAGATTTCCCAATTGTTTTCTTTTCTCTTGATTGGACTCCATTTTCGTATAGGGTTCTTGTTTTGCTTCTGGTTTCGAATTTAAGGTTGCTTGATGATATGCGTGAGACAATCTGCAAGCGTTTTACATGAACTAGCAGTAAGGTGGAAGGAATACCGATGTTTGGTATGGAATTCTTGGTCATAATTAAGTGAACATAATGATAGGGATTCTTATGCAACTTTTTGTCTGCGCACACTTTTCTATTGATATGAAGTTTGTGGATTGTTCTCTGCTACTGAAGGAATTCTTTAACGATGTGTAGATTTGAATTTCTGTGTGTGTGTGTGCGCGTGTTTGTATCGCAGATGACCATCTAGATTTGAATTTCTGTGTGTGTCGTAGTCTGTCCACCGGGTCTGGAAGCATGCTATAGAAATCGAGTAGGATATGGCGAGTTGATAAATTGAAATAGCTCTAATGAATATCAACTTGTTCTCTATGATAATTATGCATAAAAAATATGATATTATAGCTGCCGGATTCAATAATAATTACTAATTTAGTCACGAAATTGTAAATGAAAATTAATTTTTTTAGTAATTTATCTAAGTAATAGACCTTCATTTAATAAATTAAATAATTTATAATATTAATCAACTTCCCATGATAGCTAAAGCATAACTCTAGACACTCTGCTTTCAATGATGCATGATCAAAATGTGAAAACTATTAAAGAATAATTGGTTTCAGATTGCTAGGAATAAATTTAGTATGTGGTGCCTATTGGCTAAGACAAAAATGGCAATATATAATGCATAAATGTGATCAACGAAAGATGCATGAGTAATGATAGATATTATATCATAATAATTATAAATATTATACCAATAGGTCCAACTAATGAGATGAAATTATCAATATTGGAACAATTCAATGATGCTTACTATGCAATAAAGTTCATGAAAAATTATGTGCAAATAACAATCAATGCATTCAAATTCCAAAACATACACTTTCATGTATGTGATACTTATACGGATGGTCATTTTCTTATAAACTTTGTGTGTGTCTCTCTCTCTCTTTCTCTTTTAAATAAAAGGATGATTTTCACCTTCCTAGTGAAATGAATGACTCCCAAAAGAATCATAATTCTATAGACCTAAGGGATACATTTACCCTTAGCTAGTAAAGGTGGCTGATGTTGGCTACTAATAGCCCAATGCATTAGACATTACCAAATCAAATCCACATCGAAACATATTATTTCACACCTAAATTAAGATATCTCATGTCTTACATAAATTCAACACATTGAACATTATACATAAATAAACTGGATGAATACAAACTTTCTAAATTGCATAATTCCAGTTAATTAAGTAGTGAAACATGTTTGTGATCTTACCACATATTAACAATAAGTTATATGCAATATTTATAACTAATGCTCAATGCCTCGATAAAATTCCCACATTCACATTAATTTAGCAACTTTTTTCATCCTTGCCTAATGGTTACTAGGTTTTCCTTGTGATTTTTAATATATTTAAAAATTCTAATATATTAAAATTATATCTTATACTTAATTCTATGGTTCAAATATATTGACATATTCTGAGGCCTCAAAGTTATATCCTCCAAAAAATTATCATAGATAAATTTATTTTTGTATATTTCTTAACTAAATAACCAATCAATCAAGATCAGCATCCAAAACAAATAAATATCCAATCAACTTAATACTAAGAGTTTATATATATATATAGCCAATTTCTTATATCTACAGCATTACAAATTTACAATAATATGAATATTGAGTAGATGTCAATTTTTACACACAAAAAGGTCCTAGGAAGACTTAGCTTAACAAATTAGAAGTTAGGCTCTAATACCACTTATCATAGCCCACTTTCGGGCGTGGAAAGATTTACCTGTATTATAGGATGAGTTAAAAAATTTTAGATGAATATACAGCAACAACAACAACAAAATCAAGCCTATATTAAAATTTATCCACAATGATAATTATCCATAAAAAATAAAGGGATTTTTACATACATAACACTCAAAATATTTCAAATTACCTATATAACACCTAAACTATTAGATTTACATACATACCACTTAAAACCCTCTTTTACATCTTTTCTAACACTCCGTTAATAAAGCATTATTTTTCGTCTCCCCCGTTTGTTGGTGTGCGACAGTGGCGGGAGTCTCCGCTTGTTCGTGCGCAAACAGTGATCCGTTCATCTTCGCTACTGTCGTCTCTAGTTCTGTTCTCACAAGTTTCAAACATTGTGATTTCATGTGTTTCATTTATCGCTACTTCCGTCGCTACTTCTATTCTCGCAAGTTTCATCTGTTGCGTATTCCTTTCGCCTTCTCTGGTAAGATGCTGACCTCTTTTCAAACTGATGCCGACCTCATTGCAAACTATTTTCACTATCTAATTTTGGCTTACTGACGTATTTTTTACGTACACAGATCAAATGGAATCGAGTAATTTTTACTTCATAGTTCTTAAATTTGGTGGATTTTGGAGTGAGGTGCGGGGTCAGAGTCGATTGAAGTATGTGGGTGGAAGTCAAAAAACGTTAAAGCTTTTGAGAGATAAAATCACTTTGTTGTTGCTAAAAGAACGAGATGAAGCACTTTGTCATTGGCTAAGGGGTCAAGCTTTCGACTTACACTATCATGTCAATGGAACATTACCTAAGCAGTACATGTTGGTTTCAATCGATACATATTTAGTTAATATGCTTAGTAGTACTTATGAAAGGAATAGAATTGAGATTGTCGTTGTCATGAAATATCACCAGGAAGATATGTCTCAACCACCAAATAGTCAAACTGAAATAGAGAAGCAACAATTAACTGAAATGCGTCAAAGTGATATTATAGTTGATGTTCTGTGCAACAATTTTTGTATACCCTTAACAGATGATGCAAATACTCTTTGTGTTGGTTCTCAATTTCAGGATTCTCAAAGTTTTAAATAAGCAGTTAGTTCTAATGCAATTTTATAGAATTTTGCTATCAGGATAAAGGCTAGGGACAAATCTAGAGTAATTGCTACTTGTGCATACAGAAGTTGTCCATGGAGAGTACGTGCCTCATTGTGTCCTGATGGCCACACATTCGAAGTTAGAAAAATATATCCAACTCATTCATGCCCTGGGGTTAATAGAGCCGGTAACAAGCAAGCTACTATTAGTTGGGTAGTAAATGAAATCAAGGACATTGTGAAGAAAAATCCTGATATCACACCGAAGGACATTAGCAACAACTTGGAGACCACTTACGGATTATCATTGCCTTATATGAAAATTTGTCGTTCTAGAGAGTTAGCAAGAGATATAATGTTCGGGTCTGTGGATGAGAACTATATGTGCGTGCCTACTCTTAGGTTAGAGTTACTAAACAGGAATTCAGGCTCTCATATTACATACATGTGTGACAACAAAAGCAATGCATTTAAGCGAATCTTTGTTAGCTTCAAAGTTTGTATTGAAGGATTCATTTTTGGATGTAGATATTTGATAGGGGTTGACGCTTGTCACCTAAAGTCTAAGTACCTTGGTGTACTACTATCTGCCAATTGTTTGGATGCTAATAATGGTCTCTACACAATAGCTTATAATGCTGTTGCTGAAGCTGAATCTAAGAAATTGTGGGGTGGTTCATGAGGAACTTGTTAGAAAGCTTAGGTTGTGAAGTGTCACATTTGGCGTTCATTTCTGACATGGAGAAGGGCCTTGGTGAAGCCATCAAGCTTATTTTTCCAAATGCCGAGCACAGAGTGTGTATGAGACACCTGTGGAAGAATATCAAAAAACTTTTTCGTTGTGAAGATGGTCACATTCTACGAAATTTAGTTTGGACTGCCGCAAACACTTACAAGCTTAATGATTTGCATATGAAAATAGAGGAGATGTACAAAATAAACCCCCAAATTTACAATTACTTGTAAAAATCCATTGAATGTGGAAGGTGAACGAGTACCTTCATCATCCATTAGTCGTGAAAAAATGAGTATACGTCGTCCTAGTACGGGGTCGTTCGAATAGATCAATGCCTGTTAATTTTTTGTTAGGATGCTAGCAGATTTATGATACTACTGCCATATTATGCATGCTAGCAGATTTTTTGTTGGGATACTAGAAGATTTTTTGTTGGGATGCTAGCAGATTTTTGTTGGGATGCCAAATTATGAAGTCTAGCAGATTTTTTATTGTATTTCCATATTATGAATGTTAGCTAATATTTATAGTAATGCCATATATTATGAATGCTAGCATATTTTTATTACAGAACTTTTTAGATTGTATGTGATGACTTCAATGAAGTTACAGCATTCCGGGTTACGCCATTCCTCTGTTATCTAAAAAATTCTGGAGTCCTTCCAGGTATTCACAAAACATAAGCAATCACATTAAAGCAATCAATATTACATTAAAGCAATTACATAACTTCTCAATTCTAACGAGACTTGAGCCATTCACAAAACATCAAGCTATAACAGCCATTTACTATTAATGAACTACAACCAAGGTTACAGTAATTGCCTGAAAGTTACATTTACTCACTGATCTAATTACAGTTACATTTGTTCACGTTGATTGCTACAATGAAATTTAGGATAAGAACTATCACCAATATAATTTTTATTTGTACAAGCTCGGCTCTAACGGAGACAACATGAGTAATGCTTGTTTCGGCAACATTTGATCTTCTTCCTTCATTCATATCATGCGCCGACTCTTCAAGTTCATCACACTACCGAAAAAAATGACAATCATCTTCTGATCTATTCCGGGAGCATCTGTAGAGTTTTCGTCCATTACTACGTGATTTGTGTGACGTATATATTGTACATTGCAAATTGCAATGGCAATATATTTGATTACTTGGGTTTCTGAATGTCGTTGCCGAGGAACTCGTACTCATTGAAAAATGGATTTATGATTTGAGATGCAATAACAGTACACCTTCAAAATGAAGAAAGAAAAGGAGCTCATTTGTTAATAAAAAAATAACATAACATTACAGAATTTCTCTTAGCTGAATTAATATAAACGGTTCAAATTTAACACCAAGCTACATACAATCTCAAATTAATAATGCAGCAGTTATCTCATAGACTTCTAAACCAACTTGAGGCGCAGGTATTCCAAAATATAATGGCTGCACATTGATCTAGAGTAGGTATCAAGGAAACAAATTTAAAAATCACAACAAACAACATTCGATTGACTCAAACATTAAATTTATGCACAATTACTAGAGCATATTGCCCTTGTTGATATTTGACCGAACAACTTACTTGCATCAAAAGCACATAACTAAGTCAGAGCTTGCTAAACGAAAAACAAAACGTGAAAATGACAACGAAGATAAAACGAGACAGCAAGATAGGACGAAGATAAATCCCGAGCGGACGAAAAATCGAACCCAAGTCAAAGCTACCTAAACCCTAAACAACCTTTCTAACAAAGAAATGGAGCAGACAACCGAAGAGAAGATGCTCCTGACCAAAGGTAGGTCTCGAGCAACCGACCTCATTTTGAGCGACAACGTGATGGAGAAAATGAAAAACCAAACCTTTCCTACCAAAGGTAGGTCTCGAGCAGCCGAGCGAAGAGAAGATGCGAGGTGATTGCGGAGATGACTATTTTGGGGGTGTGGCTTTAACGGGATATAACGGAGTGTTAGAAAAGATATAAAAGAGAGTTTTAAGTTGTATGTATGTAAATCTAATAGTTTAGGTGTTAGATAGGCAATTTGAAATGTTTTGAGTTTTATGTATGTAAAAATCTCAAAAATAAAAATGCAAGAACAGTTACATCCAATAACATCTAGTAATTTAACCACAAAAGCGTGAATACAATAACTATTTTCAGTAATAAATTGTCATTAAATTCATTAAAAGATTTGCAATATTTCACCTTCACATGATACCTAAAGCTTAAGTCTTGAGACCGTTTTCAATAATGTACATGCAATACTAAAAAGAAAATTATAAAAATTTATAGGTGTGAGTTTGCTAGAAATAAATTTAGAAGGTGAAATCTATCTTTTGAGGTATAAACGACAAGTTATAAGACATAAATATAATCAACCAAAGAGGCATGAATAATGATAGGTATAGTGTCATAACAATCATAAATATTATACCAATGTGGTATAGCTTACAAGATTAAAAAAATGGTATATCACGTGATATATTAATTTATGAGAAAAAGGTAGGTTTAGGGTTATTATCTTCCTTAAGCGAAAGATGAGAATGAAGAAGTAACATCTATGAGCTCTCTTCCCTTAACTATTCTCCTGATTCGCCAAACCATTGATACTTTCATAGCCATTCTTGCTTATTCTAACAGTCTTGATATTAGTAAGCTATCAACCTCCTCCTCCTTTTTCTTCCTCCTCACAACTCCAGCCATCTCAGTCCACCAGTTACAGAAGGTGGGGCTGGTAGCCACCAACTGTAGCCAAAGGAAAAAAATGAGAGGCAGGAAGAAGAAAAGGAAAGAGCAGCTAAGGCAACAAATCTGTCTTTATTGAACCCCTCGTAGCTTTGTTGGGGACCTCCATGCTGCTCTCTTCCTTGGTCTCCAATTCTCCAACTCATACACTCGTTCTCTTCCTGTTTTGCTCTCGCTGTGGCACACTCAGACTTGGAGGATCAAGTTTGAGAAGCTGTCTTTATTGAACAAGGTTACGAACCTGTGAGATTCGGTTTGCCAGAAGGAAAAAAATTTGTTTGATGTAATGTGTTTGAAATTTTAGCAGCGCGCCACACTTGTTTTACTAAATGTTTGTTTAAAATAAGAATAGGAAATCCCTCTTTTAACTTTTTGTTAGTTAAGTGCTGTTATTTGTTTTCTAATTCACATGAATCTCTATAGTTATAAACGATTCCGAAACATTTCTCATTATTTGAACCAGGAAACAAAGAACGAGAAGAAGGCGGGTAGGACCAGAGTCCTTGGCAGAAACTCTTGAAAAATGGAAAGAGCTCAACAAGAAGCTTGATTCATGTGATGTCAAGCGGATCCGCAAGGCTCCTGCCAAGGGTTCAAGAAAAGGATGCATGAGAGGGAAAGGAGGTCCAGAGAACTCCAAATGCAGCTATCGTGGTGTTAGGCAACGTACTTGGGGCAAATGGGTTGCTGAGATTAGAGAACCAAATAGAGGAAATAGACTTTGGCTGGGTACTTTCGCCACAGCCCTTAAGGCAGCTTATGCTTATGATCTGGCAGCAAGAGCAATGTATGGTCCTGGTGCTCGTCTCAACTTTTCCGTAGATCAAATTCCCTCCCCTTCAGAATCATATAGTTCAACTATCACAACTAGAGAGGAAACCAGAGAGGAGGCAAATACGGAGCTGAATGACTGGTTAAATCTTACAGAAGATCTCTCGTGTGAAAATTTTGATGTAGATGAAATGCTGAGGATGATGGATGCTGAACCAGGGAACACTGGAATAACTACAGAACCAGATACCGAAGATATAACGCATTGCTGCAGCCCATGTCATATGACGAGCCCTTCTACATTGTCATTCCAGTTGCAGAATCCGGACGCCAAATTGCTGGGAGCATTGGATCATATGGAGAATGAAACTAGTGACACTGATTTCAGCTATGACTTCATTAGACCAATGAGGCAAGAGCTTGATTACTGGCCTCCTGGAAACCCGGAATTATTCGACCTTGGGTTCACTGATGGAGGTGGCCTTTTCTGAACTCTCAATCATATCGTATTAATTATAGCTGTGTTTGATTTGTTCATTTTTTTGGGTGAGGATACGCCTATTGCTGCATTGGCCGCATGGCAGCAAAGGTTATGAAGGCAAAGTTGGTTCTCTTGTTTTTTTTTTTCTTTCCGGGAGGATGGTAAACTCTGCTTTCTCAATGTACCTATATCAGGGATAATTATGCTGCACAAGTGTGCTCTAATAATGTATATGACCTGCGCAGAAGCGCTAATAAAAGGTTTCACCAGTTTTTGTTTTTTTTTTCTCCTTACGTAGCAATTGATACCAAATATTTGCAGAAACTTTCCATTTAGTTATACATGCGTACATGTGTGATTTCTTCTGTTGATGTGGTGTCGTGGTATCGATGATCTTTCTCGCATGGCATTAAAATCTTCTTTGCAAAGCAGGCATCAAAAAGAACTTTTTTTCCTATATAAGCGTAAGGGAAAATTTCTACTTTGCAGTTTTTTTTTTCCTCTCCTGCTTTCATTTGTACCAGGTCAATAAATTATTAATAATAATGCCTAAGTGATTGCTTCCTTCCAACAAAAGCTGACTTACATAGGATCTTGATCTCTATGATTGTTCTTAGAAAAATTTATGTTTTTGAAACCTATGTTTTTTACTTTACGCGTATAATCTGATAAGTAAATAGAATGAAGGGATTAACTTTTTTAAGTAGAATGAGTAGGGGAAAAATTTATTATTGGTGGAAAAGAAAAGTATTTACATCAATAGTTGATATGAATTGTTATGCAAACACAGTGGAAAATTAAATTATAAATCACGCAACCAAAAGAAAAAAATATAGTGATTTGTGTTGTTCGGCAAAGATGTCTATGTCCACGGGAAGGGGAAAATGATTTCAATACATTGGAGAAAAGAAGGATTACAATTTGGTTCTCTTTAACTCTCATGAATCTACAATAACTCTTGCCCCTCAATTTATAGATTTGAGGTAAAAAAAATAAAGAACAAACTTCCTAATCCAACTCTAAATAAAATTTCTAATAAAATCACTTAATTAGGGAAATAATTAGATCATTAATTAATATCCATCAAAGCCTTACTAATCACGATTGATTTGGATTTGGAAAGATTTTCAAATCAACAATTTTCACCTCATCTTTCATTTTAAAAAGTGTAAGATGATAAATTAGGCTCAAATATTAGAATGATTGTACTCAGATTGCTACATATGAATTGTAATAGCCCTATTTTAATCTAGTAAATTAATTTTTTTCAGGACTTATCCAAATCACACTCTCTCATCCCCATAACATAGATATTGTAATGATTTAATTACATCACTTTTTTCGTAACTTCTTGTTATTGGTGTTCACGTGTGGTAAAAGTAAGAATTTTGAGGCCGTTGAGTGTTCATTTTACAAATCGATTTCATTAAATTTTTTTAAATAAAATGAGCTATTTTATGGATATTTTTCTATAATTTTATAAGCGCCTAAAATATTTATATAAATTTTACATTAAAAATTGAATAAATCATATATTTATATTTATATTATATTATTATTTTATTTTAAATATCATACATCATTTACTTATTTCTTAAATCTCATTTCTCTTTATTCAAATCAGCTAAAATATAGCATTTAGGGAATATTAGAGAGAAAATATAGTAGAGAAAAGAAAACTTAGGAGGTGGAGGCCATATAGCAATTTTTACCACTTGGTCCTATTAGAAATTTATTTGTCTCACAATAAAGAACTATTATTGTATTTCTTGTTTCAATAATTTGATGTTCTTGAATTTTTTTTAATCAAATTTGTATTTTGTTACGGAAAAATGAGAATAATTTTGTATTGATAATATTTTCACCACATAATTTTTTATATGTTAAAGAGATTGAGATAAAAAAATATTTTGAGTATTTATTTGAGATTTTTGGCCCATTCAAAAAATTATTTTGACATCTAAAATAGTATTTTAGTTCAATTAAAGCTTCATAATATTGTTATATAAGATTTCAGATAATTTGGTTAATTTCTAAAAATGTGAATTTTTGCTCAATAGTTTTTTGTTGTCTACCATTAGAACATTTTAACACTTTTTAAATTAATCTTGATTATTCTTATTTACTACAATGCATTAAAAATGAGTATGAATTTGTGGCTGAGTAATAGTTGGTCGTTATTACCATTATAATATAGTAATAATAATGTGTGTGAGAGAAAAATAAGTAAAGATTGATTATTCACTAATGTTTGCAAGAGATTGATTGAAATGTATAAGATGGTGGGCTGACGAGTTTTCTTTTAAATATATGATTTGATTTTATCCTCTACTGATTCATGTGATATACTGATTGAGAGTTACAATGAGATTATTACTGTGCTAAGAAACAAAGAGCAATGCTCTATTTACTAAGCAAATGATTTACTAATACATATATGATACTAGAAAAATATGGCTTAAATCATGACTTCTTACTTATTTAGTGTGACAACTAAAATATGTATTACAGATTCATTGTTATTGTAAGGCTTTACTGATACTATGTTGATTTACTGTTAATGCATTATTTTACTACTCATCAACTAGACTATTACTGCTATCGATATAAATATCAATACTATTTAATACTACAGATTCACTGTATTGATACTAAGTATGTGACATACTAAGAACATAATATACTTATTTGATACTGATATAGAATACCTAAATAGTTTTTTTTATACCTAAATAGTATGTGTACACTCTTATATAATTTTACTATATTGATATAATTTTGACAATCTTTATCGATGCTTTAATTTTTATCATTTTATATGATTGCTTTATTGATTGATATTTATTAATATGATGACTTCTTTATCAATTCAACACCTATATTAGTTTACCGGTTTCCCCATTGTATTATTTTGCTAGCTTTCATGCCATACAATTTTACTGCTTTGTAGACTTTGTCACTATTACATGTGAGTTTTACTATTTTTATACTGATTTAATGATCATATGAATGCTACTTCCATAATTTAATTGTTGACATGCATATTGACATTTAATATGCTTTGAGTTCAGTTGTAAGTTTTGGTGACCCGATGAACTTTTTAGCTCATTATATGTGACATAAATGTTTTCATGTCATGGTAGAGGATTAGGAGTATGAGAATGACCAGGAATCTTCAGGTTTATTATTAGCTTATTTCTATTTGCAGTAGCTATTCTTTTGTACTCAGGGTAAGATAGATATATTATGATTATATAGATCCTAAACAATGTGTATAATTTTTTAGAAAGAAATATAGATTTATATATTGATATTTTGATTGATAGTTTTATTTTTATTGATATTTTTATTAATAAAAAATTAGGTAGTTCTAGTTTTGTAAATTAAAAGATAAAATAATCTATATTTTTTAAACTAGATTGTGGGCATGACAATTAGTGCCAGAGCATAGCTTTTGAAAGAATTGATTTGTTACCAAAGTTATAAGAATTGATTAAAAAGTTGGATAGATTAAGGTGCATTATTTTACACACATAATTTATTGCATGTGTGAATTATTCAGATCATATATAATCTTACTAAAGTGAACAACTATAATGGATCTTCTAAAGCAAGATGTACCAAATGAGCAACATAGTGTAGCTCTAATGTCATCAAATAGTGTTACACACTTGGCCATTATTATGGCATCAATAATGTGGGATGCACATAGTAGGTCAAATGGAAGTAAAGAAGATGAGGGAGACAAATACAAACAAATATTCTATAAGTTGAAGCGTATATTGTTCAAAAGAGCTTGTTGACCTCATTTTTGTATAAGGTCACTAGGGCCTACTTGGGTTTCTTACTGATGACCTAATGATTAGATGATGTCTACTTCTCATCCATATAGGTCCTAGTAAAAAACAAATCCAAGTTTAATCAAATCTAGTTCCACCATTCAATTTAATTTCCAGACCAACTTTCAACCAACATTCACTTTTTTTCTTTAATATTAGTTGAACCTTGCGCGGATTTTTAGAGAGAGAATGTCTGGATTTATAGAGAGAGAAAGTTCACCATCTGGTTCGAATTTGGTTTTGCGCGGGCTTTTCGCGGTCGATGGAGTAGGCGTCGGATGACCGCCAGCGTTTCTTTGCCGGTGTCATGAATGCTCTGCGACCCTCCGGTCCTCTACATACCAATGGTAGAGTATCGAATGGCATTGTGATCAGAGAAGGGGAAAGACCTCCGAGCTGTCAAGGTCTAGTTGAAGGCATGGGGAAGAATTTTATGGTGGTGGATATGGCTGGTAAGAAGAAGATGGATCTGAAGAGAAATCTAGGTTTGGCCATTCTTGAATCTTCGGCTTCAGATGATTTAATTTTATGTGTGAATAAGTTTTCTGGGGTTCTTAATGAGCATAAGGGTCGCAATATTGCAAATGACCTGAATTCTGTGGAGGGTCAGAAGGTTGTTGATAATATGGATCACGATAAGGATCCTGTGAAGGATTTGATGAGTATTGGAGTCTCGAAGACCAATCTGAATGATAACTCCAGACAGGAGGGTAATGGTGGGGTTGTTGAAGCATGGTCGAAGCCGAAGCATATCAAGATAGCGTTTAACAGGGACCCAGTTGAATTTTCTGAGGATGGTATTGCAGTCAGGCTCAATTCAGACATGGAGGAAAAGAATTCACAAGTCTTGAAGAATTCGGTAGTAATTAAAGTTTTGGGAAACAATGTGCCTTTCTCTATTTGCAGCGTAGAACTGAGAAGGAAATGGAGCAAATACGGTGGATTTCACTTGACGTCAATTGGTATGAACTGGATTTTGTGTTCTTTTAAGTCAGATGAGGTGGTGGAAGAAATTCTGAATAGCGGGCCTTGGTACGTGAGTAGATACATTGTCAGCATGGACAGATGGTCCCCTGCTTTTGATTCGAATTCATTTAAGGGAATTTCTGCTCCCGTTTGGATCAGATTCCTGTGCTTGCTATTGTACTGCTGGGATGAGGATAATATAGAAAGAATTGCTTCTTGCTTTGGGTCACCAATGTACATAGATGGCAATACTTTTCGCTGGGGTAAACGAGAGTTTGCTTGTGTCTGTGTAAGGATCGATCTGGAGAAAAAGTTACCGAATGGTGTTTGGGTAGATGGCTCAGCTGGGAGATTCTTCCAACAGGTGGAGTATGAGAAAATTGATTTTCTTTGCAATCAATGTGGTAGAGTGGGTCATGACAGTAAGGCTTGTCCGGAAAATGTAACTCTTGGTATTCAAGACCAAACGATGAGGAAGATG